TGATTAGTAGTAGTACAAACGACCTAAATCTCTAGTTTGCTACAATGATCGACCCATATTACTTTTTTTAAAGTGCCTAGTTTCCTAAAACAATATTGCACAGTAAATTTAGAACTTCTGAAATTCCGAATTTGGATTCTTCACCACAAAGCCACTATATAAGACCAGAGATCCCCATAGAAAAAGCAGAAATTTGAGTAAAAGATACAAGGGATAAAACAAGTACCTCTGTTTACCTTTTTTTTTTTTTTTGGTCACACTACCTCTGTTTACCTTAATACCTACAAGTTACAATTTAACATTTAGCCCTAATAAGTCGAGTTCGAGTCCCTGCATAGTCACTTTAAGTTTCAAAAAAAAAAAACAGTTATTGAGAAAAAGTTCAGACAAAAAAAAACAAAAAGAACATTTACCTAACAAAAAGAACATTTACCTCTCTCATTTTAATAGCAACAACTATAATGGATGTACTAACGGACATTACATAACTAAGGAGAATCCGAAGCCAGCTTTGAAGAGGACAATGGTTACCAGGAACCATGAGACTAAAGTAAAGACAAGAAGAAGAATAACTAGTCTTTCAGGGAGAAAGTATCTCATGAGGAAGGGACCAAAGGGCCAGGCCAGTGGCTAGCCGGTTTGTAACAATATGTGAGGACAATTTTGGGCCACATAATACACACAAATAGCACCATTTCACCTAAAGAATAACATAATCTGAGGCTTGATTCTCAAAGATTATATATAAGACTCTAGATAAAGAAGGTCCAAAAATAAAGACTTGCAGACAGAAGCTAACTGCTTCCGATACAACCTATATTTCTCAATGTAATAAAAACAGCTTAGATGTGTACCGGAATGTCCTAGACGACCTTTGAAGCATGTATTGATGAGCACACAGCCAGACATTTTATATCTTGCTCGGATACATAAAGACTCTTACCTGACCCCCCTGCAAAAACATATTTGGATCTTGGCAAGGAAACACATTACTACACTATATCTTACCCTTTTCATTTACATTAACTAAGAGACAAAAAAGAAAACAAGCCCTTAGAATCAACGAGCGAGAGTTTCACCAAAACGAAATAGTTCTTGTATGCAGATATTAGAAAACAAACGAAACTTATCAGAAACTTAGCTAGCGACATCAATGGAAAAGGCAAAAAAAAAAACCTGATAACATAGCAAAAACTCAGTAAATATCCGAAGTTTAGCTGAGATGGAACTCTAGAAAATGGATGAAACAAAGAGCTTCAACGACACCCTTTAACCAAAGAAAACATAGAGTTTTACTGACGGACCAGACTTGTTCTCCTTGGCACCCCTTCACCATTTTATTGAGTCATTCCAGTTAGAGAAATAGCCTTACCACAAGGAAAGGAAAACGAGACTCTAATGTACTCATCGCATTTAAAGGCGATATGTAGTATATCATATGGCCACCATGTAAGTCGTTTCAGTCACGGTTCGTCTGAGCAATGCTGGTTAACTCACGGGCAGAGAAACAGAAATATATGTTTTTTCCCAATATTTGTTGAGAATATCATATGGACACATACGTACTTTCAGTTGACAATGCTATAACTAGCTCAGCGGCATGTTTAACAGTTGGTCTATGGAGATCTCACGAGATATACAGTGTTAGCAAAGAATGTTTCAATATTGATCATACAGGACCTACACAACAGTTTAATAAACAAAGAAACATCAGATGGTAATAGACAGAAAAATCTAAGACCTGGTTTCTCATTGTACAATTTAAACCCTACAGGTAGCTCTATCACGGCACACTAGAGTGTTGAGTATTGTTCGGAAGATGCTGCAACGGAGTAGACGGGTGTTGAGGAAGACCCTCCAAGGATCCAAATACCTGAAATGTGTATTTTGAAATTTTGAGTGATGTTAAAACGCTAGAACAACAAAAGAATGTTAAAGGAGAAAGTAAAAAAAAACGCCATCTTAGGATAGATCATGGGCGTTGATTTCAGCCAATATTGAGTTTTAAAACAGTTCTCACAAACCCACGGATATAAAATCCCCCAACATCTAACCAGCAAAGGAAAGAGAGATGCCATATTGCGCTTACCAATACGCTTTCCATAATTTCAACCCTGGATTCCACAGTTGCACAACTTTTCTCTAAGAACTAGCTTGTTGGGTGAGAACCGTTAGCTTCATGGTATTGGTGACCTTGGCCTCCATAAATATCATCAGAGTTTCCATAACTTGCAACCAATCCAGGGCCTTACATAAACAAATTCACAAAGTTATATAAGCAAGTTCTGAAGTTAAAGGTGTAAAAACTAAAGCTTCAAAGTTATAGTGCTTGATCAGTAAACAAACAAAGACAGAGAGATTACTTGAGTTTGGAGCTGCCTCCGCTGCTTTAGCTTTGGTCTGCACATTAACCAATTCTTCCCGGAGCTTCACAATTTCCCGATTAAGGTGATCAATGGTCTTTTCCATACCACGCTCATGATGAAGGTTACTTGCTCGTGTCTTAATCTCAAGCTCAAGAGCAGCCCTGTTTCATTATCACTCCATAAGCAACCAAAATCACAAAGAGTCACCTCAAAACAACAAAGGGTAGAATTAAGCTCACACCTTCCTTTACGAACTTCTTCTCTCAGAGGCTCAATCTCCGCCTTAACCTCCTTGGCTCGATCCGAATTCGGTTTGGCTTTAGCCAATTCGCCATTAAGCATCGCAAGCTCCGTCGCTTGCTCCTGTCTATCGTCAGATAGCTTCTGTACATCAGACCTAACACGATCAAGCTCCGCTCCAAGCCCATCGATCACACGAGCCTGCGCCTCCATTCTAAGCGCATTCTGGTAAACCTCTCTCACCTTAGCTTCTCTCTCCGCCTTAACTTTTGCGGCGGTTTCAAGCAGCAGTGCGAGCTCACGCTTAGCCAAATTGAGCTGATCTTTGAGTCCAATGTGTGCCACAGCTAGCCGCTGGTTATCCGTGAGAAGTGATTGGATTTCACGATGCTGGATGGCGATTCGATCCTCGAAGATTACAGATCGAGTCCGATTCCTATCGGATTCGATCAACTGAGATTCTGTAATTCTCGGAGAAGAAGATGAGACTGCCGGAGACGGAAGATAACGTTCTCGGCCGGCCATATCTCAACGTCTAGTCTCCGATTTCCGATTATCTTCTCCAGTTGCGGCAGTTCCTTGTAAAACCTTTTATTACGTGATCGTTGCTATCATAAACCGTATGAACAGTGGCTAAAATGCGCAGCTCCAAACAGAAAACCTTGGCCCATACTAACCCCAAACCGTAACTCGTTACACCCATCGATAGCTTGAGAGTGAAAAAAAATCAAAAATCTAGTAAGCAAACTATGAA